ATTTCTGTTCTAATAAGATTTCGAGAAATCCTCAAAACTTTGGCTGAAAGTGATGAAGGGAAGCTTCATATTCTCAGAGTTATGTATGAAGTATGGAAAAATCATCCTCAGGTAAAAATGAATATGAGTCCCTTCCTTCCTTCCTTCCTTCCTTCCCTCCCTCCCTCCCTCCCAAAGCAATTCCTGCTTTAAGAAGGAGAAAGGCATGTTCCCTCATTTTAATTTAAACCACCTTTATTGAGTTAGATTTAGTTTATGTTGTTGAACAAGGCCTGACACTTTTTTCTTTTTGTTATCTATTGTTTCATAAGATTAAAACCAGAGAAATTGTGTACATCTATCTAAATGGCAGTTCTTAATCTCCTCCCAAAGCTAGCTCAGTCACGACCAGTCATTCTCTGGGCTCAGTCAAGGGAAGAGTGGACAGAACCATTGACAGAAATCTCGGTGCCTTTTAGCAGGAATGAGGTTGCTTTCCAATGTTCCAGAGTGTCCTTTGTGTCTTTAGGAATGGTCTTCCTGTTCATGTGTTGGTAGAGAGATGCAGTCCTGAGCTGATGGTTTCCTGTTCACCTCTTCTCTGCTTTGCCATGAGAAAAAGTTAAAAAGTAAATTATTTAAAGGTCCTCCATTGTTCAGATTTCCCCCAAAAATGTGAATGTGATGGAATCTGTAATTCTTGATGGGGAGTTATGATAAGTGGCCCTCCTAACATAAATAATTATGGTCTGCACAGCTCAGACGCTGAATCTTATAGAGAGACCGTGCTTTGAGGGATCCTGTGTAATTTCAGTTAACTGGGATTTCAATCTGTGAGTTTGTGTGGAAAGGACAACACACTCCTGATGAACTGAGCAAAGTTTCTGCATTTGCACAGATGATTGCTGTACTGGTGGATAAGATGATTCGAACACAGATTGTGGATTGTGCTGCAGTGGCTAACTGGATTTTTTCTCCAGAGCTATCTCATGATTTTACAAGGTAAATAAATGTCAACCATCGCATAACTTTAAAAAAAAAATCTCCAAATTATGCTTTGAATATCTGTCATAATGAATGATCTTGATAAGGGGGATTTTGCTTCAGCTAAAACTATTTGCTGAAAGTAAACACACTTATGTACCTTATTGAATTTTGCATCTTATTGATATTTTGCAGACCTAAGAGAATTATGATTCTGAAATTTCTGTTCAGAGGGAAGATTAGGAGGTGCAAGTTGTACGGTTGTGTTTTATGTTTTGGGCCACTTCAGTTCTCTGAGAAAAACTCAGGTTTACAAGTGTGATTCAGCCTTCTTGCTGACAACAATCAGAATGTTTTCTCCCAACATGAGAGGTTTTCTTTGCTTCTTTTATTTATTGCTAGATTTTATATTTGGGAGATCTTACACTCTACCATTCGTAAGATGAATAAGCATGTGATGATGATCCAAAAGGAGCTAGAAGAAGCCAAAGAAAGATTAGCCAAGCAACACAAAAGAGTAAGTATCTTTTTTCATGCCAGTATGAAGAAATAGGGCTGAAACATATTTCAACAGCTATAAGGGCATAAGATTTGCTTTGCTCTACTGAACCAGGCAGAGATGGGCAGCAGGATGGAAAACTGGTGAGGGTCATCATTCTGCTTGTGTCCATGGCTCAGGCGTTCTTAATTTTCAATACTTTTCATTGGCTAATTTAATTTTTTTGCATCCCCATGCTGTGATAAAACCACAGTGATAAGAGCTATGGTGGCACAGTGGTTAGACTGCAGTACTGCAGGCTACTTCGGCTGACTCCTGTCTGCCTGCAGTTTGGCAGTTCGTATCTCTCATCCTTCCATCCTTCCGAGGTCGGTAAAATGAGGGCCCAGATTATTGGGGGCAATATGCTGACTAAACCATTTAGAGGTGGATGTAAAGTAGTTTCAAGCAGTGTATGTCAAAGTGCTTTAGCTGTTAATTCCCCCCCTATAATTGAGTATGTTTGATTTATATTTCTTTAAAGTCCTACCCTTGATTTTTTCTTTGCTTTCTCTACCTTCGTGCTCACTATTTACATTTCAATCCTTTCCCTTCAGCGTGAGGATGTCCGGAGCAATGAGAGGGGAAATTGGCCCCTTGAAGAACAGATTGAACGTTTGCAAGAAAAAGTTGAATCGGCTCAAAGTGAACAAAAAAACCTTTTCCTTGTAATATTTCAGGTAAAAGCAAACATATTGATAGACCCGTGAAGAAAGCAATCTTAAAATATTAGCATGGCTGCAAAATTCTAAAATGAGGGTTTCAGCTTCATAAGGTTCTAAATCAAGTGTTTCTCAACTTTGGCGACTTTAAGTCCTGTGGACTTCAACTCCCAGAATTCCCCAGTCAGCTGGCTGGGAAATTCTGGGAGTTGAAGTCCACAGGACTTAAAGTAGCCAAGTTTGAGAAACACTGTTCTAAATTTAAAATCTCTATATTTGAGAGCAAGTTCTTAAAAACATCACAGGTAGTCAACCTCAAGCAGGTAGTCCTTGACTTATAGCAGTTCACTGAGTGACTGAAGTTACAATATGACTGAAAAAAGTGATGTGTGACCATTTTTCATGCTTACAACCATTGCAGCATCTCCATGGTCACGTGATCAAAATTTGGATGCATGGCAATTGTTTCATATTCATGACGGCTGCAGTGTCCCGAGGATCATGTGATCCACCTTTTGCAACGTTCCGAGAAGCAGAGTCAATGGGGAAGCCAGTTTGATTTAACAACCCTATTATTAACTTTAACAACTGCAGTGCTTCATTTTACCACTGTTTCAAGAAAGGTCATAAAATGGAGCAAAATTCACTTAATAAATTTGTGGTTGTAAGTCGAGGGCCATCTATACTGAATCCATGTTTGCTGTTGTTCTGTACTAAACCATTCCTTACTTAATTCAGAGATGCTTTTAACCCCTACTCAAAAGAAAAGTATGCCCATGAATCCAAAGCCAATATTTCACCTTGTTTATTCCTTCCAGCGTTTTATTATGATGCTAACAGAGCATTTAGCACGAAGTGAAGCAGGAGGCATTGATGTAATTACACCTTGGTACAAGAACTGTATAGAGAGGCTGCAGCAAATCTTCCTACAGGTAAGTCTTATTTATGTCAGAATGCATGTGGTTATTGAAAGCGAGATTATCTGGAAATCAGTCCTTGCACTGTTGATTAGCAATTTACTCATAGCAGCTTGATTCAAAAGCCTGAACAGGGTATTGTTGTATTGTAATGTTCATTATTGGCCCAAATTGAGCTTGGATTTTAGCTATATTATTGTAGGTAAAGCTGTGTGCATACGCTAAATCATTTGTAGACTTATTTGCTGCACACAGATGCAGGGGAAAAGCCAGTGAATACTTCTCTGAGATGGATGTGTCAAATATATTGTATAATTATGAGTCCCGCTGGTTTTGCATCGTTGACATGTCATATAGCACTTTCAATATTGGTACTTAAGATCAGCCTTTTCCTGCATTAGAAACTCAGTCAACACAAAATATATTTGTTATTTGTGACATTTTAATTATCTCATTCTGCTGATATTGATTTATTTAATCAATTTATATGGCTACCCACCTCACAGATGTGACTCTGTGCAGCTAACACATTTTAAAGAATACCAAGAACATATACATCAGAATACAAAGAACAAAATATCAGATACCTATGACGGTAGCCAAGAACAAACCCAATAGAGGGAGTCTTTAACATACGACCATTCATTCAGTAACCATTTGAAATTACACTGATGCTGAACCAAGGGAGCTAAGTCCTGTCCTTGAATAATGGCTATTATAGTGTCCACTCAAATCACATGATAAAAATTGGGACACTTGGCAAGGACACTGCAACTGCCTCCATCTGCCTATATTCCCTCCCCAATCCAGCCTCACTGGGTTTCAGAGGCTTTGGAACCCTCTTCCCTGTCCTCATGCTTTGCCCCACTTACCTCTTCCAGAGATTGCTTTTCTGAAAGAGCAGCAATAACAATAGCACTTAGGCTTATATAGTGCTTCATAGTGCTTTACAGCATTCTCTAAGTCTGTGATGGTGAACCTATGGCACGCATGCCACAGGTGGCACACAGAGCTTTCTCTGTGGCCATGCCAGCGTCGCCCCAGCCAAGCTCCACTGCGCATGCGCACATGCCTCCCACTGGCCAGCTGGTCTCCAGGTCTCTGCCAAACATACGCATTTGCATGCATGCCCCCCAACATGCATGGGGGGTGCTCACATTGCAATTTTGGGGTTTGCGCGCATGCACGCATTCCCACCTGCACCCTGTTTTGGACCTGGAAGGCCACCTGCAACAACCTGGAAACCAGAAATGGATGGAGAGGGTGGGATACATGTGGGGGGGGACGCACTTGCATGCACAGGGGAGCTTGCATTGCATTTTGGGGGAGGTGCGCGCTTTGGCCACTCGGCACCAAAAAGGTTCCCCATCACTGCTCTAAGTGCATATTGCCCCCAACAATCTGCATCCTCATTTTACTGACTACAGAAGGCTGGAAGGTTGAATTAACCTTGAGCCAGTGAGAATTGAACTGCTGGCAGTCAGCAGAATTAGCCTGTAATACTGCATTCTACCCACTGTGCGATAAGTATCCAGCTGATGCATGTCATGTTCTAGAAGTGGGTTCCCCTCTCAATCTCTCAGAAGGGTACTATTTTCCAAAATTATTTAAGTTCTGGGAAACAAAGTTGTATATAGAAACAGCCCAGGAGACTCTTCCCTGATTCAATGAGAGGGGCCAAGAGGAAGAGAAGGTAAAGCACAATCAGACTTGCAAGATTCAGTTTATAGTGTATTTTTGTCTAGTTCTAATTTTCATGCAGAGTCTGTTTCTTGATATGTTTCTGATCCAAGGAGTCCTAAGGCTCACAGGCACTTACAGGATTGAGCCAAATCCTATTCTTCCCTGACCACAGTATCCAGACTCTCTGATAGAACCACCAGTGACATCATTTGGTTGGTCAACAACAGCCGTGTAGAGCTGAGTGTTATTAGCACACAGTTTGATACCCTGCACTGTGCTATCAGATGACCTCACCCAGCAGCTTCATGTAGATATTAAACAGAAATGGGGAGGGTGCCAAATCCTGAGGAACCTTGCATATTAAATGTTACAGATTACATCTCTCCCCCGTGACTGAAACCAACCTTAGAGGAAGGTGGATGATCAAGGCATAACTGCCTTCCATTTCTACTCCCTGGAGTGGTATCTAGAAGCATACTGTAATCAAACGTATCTATGAAGCTGCAATAGAACCACTTTCTCAACAAACTTCCCAAGAAAAGAAAATTGGAAATAAGATTAAAGTTACCCAAAAGAATCAAATTCAGCAATGGCTTCTTGAGGCAACATTTCCTTTTTTAATCAGTGGTTCCATCACTTTCCTTTAAGAATGGATTCATCATTGCCAGGATCCAACCACATATCATCTTCTGAGAAACCTTAACTAGGAGCACACAGGTAGCCTAACTAACAGTTCCATTTAATCAGCCAAACTTTCTGTCAGTCAAATGCTGGGCCCAACTGTGATTGTTGTTATACTTACCAGAATTGGCTTTTATTATATATGCTCCCAAAACTCTCACTTTAGTTTCTAAACAACTAAATAAATGCAAGGTTCAAGTCTTTCATCTAAAATTAGATGATTATCCCATAACCATTAGATAGTGATAATGGCATGGTTATGGAAAGCTGTCTCAGATAAAGTTTTACTTGGGATTAAATTAAGACTGTTTGTTTTATTTGTAGAGTTTTGTAGCTGGAGATGGATTTCTGAAGTTAAAGTTTATAAATCTTATGATTGGTTTCTAATTTCTGTTTATTTTATGCAGTTTTTATTGCCTTCATTTTACAGTGTTCTGGAAGTGGTAGGCTGATGTTAAGTAAATAATATTTTACAATGAATATTTAATCTTTTATTTCTGCATAAAAGCAGTTAGCATGTTATAAACCTACTGCTTCATATAACATTGGATTTCATAATTAGGTTTGTCCACTCTGGTTTTTCTGATTGTTCCAGACCAGGTTCTTTTTTTAGTTGTGTTGACTTGAGTTGCACATAGTGTATAATATAGTTGTGTTGTGTCTATCATACAAATCAAACTTGCAATATTAAGCCACAGCTGGCAAGTACAAACAAGGTGCTAAACTTTTAAAAAGATGGTTTATGTAACATGCTATTTCATTTCCAAGCTTAACTGAAATGCTTTTTGTGTGTGTCTGTAGCATCATCAGATCATCCATCAGTACATGGTGACCTTGGAGAACCTTCTATTTACAGCAGAATTGGATCATCACATACTGGCTGTATTTCAGCAGTTCTGTGCACTCCAGGCTTAAATTACTTTTTTTTTTTTGTATAGGACTTAATTTCATTTTGTGAAACTTAAGATTTCGATGGGAAAGAAAGAAAAAATAATAATAACCTGAAAGTGTGCTGTGCTAGATAAACAGTGCTCATATTTTCAGCAGTAGGGGCCTTATGCTAGTTATGATTCCGGGATGTTTGGGATGGAATAATGTGTGGATTTCTAAATTTGAAATGGATTGAATATTGACTCGGCCATAGCATCCCTTTTGTGCCCTCTTATTATTGGTATAAAAGTTAAAAATAGAAGACAATAAATAGATGTGGCTCTTTGTTGACCTTTTGCATACCATGCAACGGGTTCTATAATAATGTGAACTAAGTCTCAAAACACGAATGTATCTGAGGATAGACTTTCTGGTGATAATGCTCAAAACTCCGTAAGAAACAGAAGCCTCAAATATATGAATATTTAAATGGCTAAGTCTGCAGAGAACTTTGGGGTATGTTTGCTATCAAAATGAATGATCATGGTTTTGTGAAATATAATTGAAACTACAACACTTTTTAAAACATTGGTCCAATGTGCTTATTTTGGGTCACACAGAATAGAAACAAGCTGAGTTACTGAAGCAACAATCTGGGCTGCTCATTTGTAATGCAGATATAAGTTGCATTAAGGGACGTAATAAAAGCTATCAACTAGCCTGATCTGCCTTCCATAACTCAAGATTGTCTGATTACTCTGGAGAAAACGTATTTTTGTTCATTGGCCTAGACCAAGAAGACAGCCAAGGCTGTTGTGCTTCTTTTTATTTATTTGTGCCGACTCATACATTTGATAAGCCAAGTCATTAGATTAAGGCTGGCTTTGCAAATATGGTTATCAACGTCTTCCAAGTTAAAAACGTGAGAGTTACTTAAGGGCCTATTCTTAATAGTAGAAAATATATATAGCTCAGCGTTGAATTGCTGGGCTCTTGGTATTCCCATTTATCATTACTAGGCCAAACAGCACAATGAACTGCCTTCCAGCCAGTTAATGAAAAGCAAGTTCATAGACTGCTAAAGTCTACTCATTTACCAACATATGCAAGGCCCAGATGTTTTCCCTCAAAATAATGTGTTTCTTTAAGAACGACTAGATAGAGACTTTCATTGTTTTCAGTGGTGGGTTGCAGGTGGTACGCCCCGGTACGGACGTACTGGAGCCAGCCCGGAGCACCGGATACCTTTCCGGTACGGTACTCCGGAGGGCCCGCCCGCCCGAGCTCCTTACCTGTGTTTAAAGCTTCTGTGCTGCCGCGCACATGCATGGCACATACAGCACCTGTGCGACGCTCCGCAGTGCAACTGGAGCATCGCAGAGGTGCTAAGATGCATGCGCGCATTGCACGTGTGTGCACACATGGTGCGCGTGCATGAGGATTTGAAACTCACCACTGATTGTCTCCCTACCTAGTAATAGTAGTAGTTTAAACTACATACTGCTCTAGCCTACAGGGTCTCAAATTAACTTGGTCAGCAAATCTTCAACCCTCCCAGTAGCATTCTCCATGGCAATCGATAGCTCAGTCTGAAGTTTTGGGGCTGACAGGTCTGTGACTGTGGAAATAACACTAAATCAAAACCACACAAACCACACACTTTGGTATATTATGTTCTTTGATGCAGCCTCTATCTCCACAGTGATAAAGTTGCTAGAACCAAGTGCAAGGGTGTGTTTCCTCTTCTCTATATTCTACAGTGTATATGTGTATGAGCTTCAAAATTGGAAAGTCTTTTTTCTAACCCACAAACTACTGTAGATATATATGAAAAATGTTAAGATGCATGCAGTGATACAGATAAGCATTTAACTGTGTAAGTATTATACAGTTAAATATTTTTATTATTCAATAAATGTAACATTTTTTATAAAAGGATGCTTATTATGCCTCTTTTCTGTCAGATTTTCAGTTATTTCTGGATAATGGTTAGGGTATGCAAAATAGGTCACAAAGAACGTGATCCATTACATAAAAACTTGAATACAAAAATGCACTGAATGTAAATCCAAGCCGTACTACATCTTTTCATAGGTTAATTCATGACCACATGTGCTGCAGATCTTTCTGTACGTATCATCGCCTATCATTTCTTCAGCTCCATACTCATGTTGATGGATACTTGTGTCTTTTTTCCATAAACTACTTCTTACAGCTCGTCGTAATTCTAATACAATAGAAGGAGCACAATAGTTAAAACATCATCACACACAAAATCAACCTCAATGACAGTCTGCATATCCTAATGTTTTAATGTCTGTTTTTGAAAGAAATGTGTGAATGGAATTGGAATGAATCTAGAGTGAATTTTAAAGTCCATTAGAAGACGGTGGTCATAAAAAGCCGACACAAAGAATGTAACTTTCCCTAGATTCCCTAGATCAGTAATGGCTAACTTTTTTCTCTTCATGGGTCAAAATTGTGTAGCCACACCCAATGCAATATGCCATGGCCGCCTGCGCATACGCGCATGGCCCCCTGCCCCCCTGCATGTGTGTAACCCCTGCCTCCCCCTATGCTCCCCCCATGCATGTGTGCGACTTCCCCCCGTAGCCCATTTTGGGCCTAGCAAAATTCCTAAAGCCTCCTGGAACCAAAAATGGGGTGTGGGAGGTGTTCCACTCCGCCTCCCCACGCATGCACGCACGACCCTCCTGCACATGTGCACACATCTCCCACATGCACTGCAGTGACATGAAAATTGGCCACCAGGAGGCAAGTCCCTAATCTTTCAGCCAGTAAGGCATCAGTATCAAGAGTGTGATTGGTGTAATAAAACTAGCTATCAATAGGGGTTGGCAACTTGTAGACTTCCAATTTACCTGACAGTTCTGCCATCCTTCCTACACTCCTCCCCCCTCCAGCCCAAGTTAGCTTTCTTTTTTTTGGGGGGGGGGAGATAACTACTGATAAGAGACCGACTTCTAGTTTGATTTAGGCACAAAGTCAGCTGGGTCATTCTCATTCAGCCAAAGGAAACAGTTAATGGCAAACTACTGAAATATTTGAATCAACATTGACTCAAAGGCATTTTTAAAAGCTCTACTATAAACAATTGTATCAACCCACCATTTTTACTTTAGAGTCAAATATACTGGGTGTAAGTGGAATCCAATAATGTTTTTTGAAATAAAGCTAATCTGTGTAGGCATAGCCCTACAGGCTTTTAGCTATACAATTTGGGATGAAAACCCTTTGAATGGTGTGGGAATAGGAATGGATTTCCAGAGGAACCAGGAGGACTTCTCAGGTGACCCTGAGGACACAGATAAACTTCCAAGTGCTTCAATGACCCTCTAAAAGGATGCAGAGTACCAGCTGTCTGCAAGGAATATAAATCCTTCCATTCCCCAGTATCCTGTCAGAGTTGAAGGAACTTCTTGGATGAGAAGCAAAACATCTTCAAAAGAAAAAAAAAACCAAGAAAATCCAGTTGCTTCCTGAAAAAACACCTTTGGGATAACCATGACCTAGCTGACTGAGAATTTCTACAGGCTACTGTCTTTCAATCGTAAAAGTAGAAGGACAGGGAGGTTTACTGGTATCCCTCAAATACTATTTGTAACCTACCTTTAACTTTTTTGTCAAACTTTTTCTGTTTCATCTTCTCTCTGTTATCTTGGCGGTTCTCTTTGGCTTCTTCTAATGCTTCCTCACTACCCCAAACTTCAAGGGAGCGCTTAATTACCTGTAAATGCCAAGCATCATTTGAGTAAAATTTAGGGGACTGGAAACAAATTACTTACACAAAGTAAAGTCCCAGCTCCCATCTTTATGGTGGCTGCTGTACCAACAAACAAGGGGTCTTGTTCTCAGCTAGCTCTCTTTAGCAAAGAATATAGTGCTATCTTCACTTAGCACTATTTTCATTCAGTATCTTTGGTGAAAGGGTTGTTTTATTTAAGAAGCTGTTCTTTTCATGGAAGAATGGCAATTCATACAAAGAAGTGGTCCCATTTATACCTCCTGACAATATTACAATAGTAATCAATGCTTGTGGGAAACAGCACAGCAATTGTGCAACAAATTCAGAAAGTCTCTGGATGCAGCAATGAGATTAGTTCCACAGATGCTGAAGCTTTTTTTTTTTTTAGGAAATGAATCCCTCCCTAGTATATATTAAACTATACTGGTAGCTTAATGGTAAGTAAGTAATTACAATATATATAATGATCATATATAATAAGTAATTATAAGGGACACGGTGGCTCAGTGGCTAAGAGCTTGTTGATCAGAAAGGTCAGCAGTTCGGTGGTTCGAATCCCTAGCGCTGTGTAACAGAGTGAGCTTCTGTTACTTGTCCCAGATTCTGCCAACCTAGCATGTAAAAATGCAAGTAGAAAAATAGGAACAACCATTCTGTGCACCTTCAGTGTTTAGACATGCCAGCCACATGAACGCAAAGACATTTTGGCTCTTCAGCTTTGAAACGGAGATGAGCACCGCCCCCTAGAGTCAGGAATGAATAGCACATATGTGCGAGGGGAACCTTTACCGTTAAGTAATTACAGAGGATTATCTAGAATGATGTCTCTCAACTGGCACCATTTGCTATACTGTTCCAAAGTGTTCCCCAAAATTTTAGAACAGATTTTGCGGGTTACAAAAAGATCTTCCCTTCCCTTCCTTTTTGATAGAAAACTACACTGAATCAAAAAGTCTTCCCTCAGTAGAAAGGCACATTCTGATATAATTCAGCTCCCACATGACTACCCACCACCAAAAAAAATTGAGACAGTTCGATCAAATAGTTAAACGTTCACCATGAGAAAAACTGAAATGTTAGAATGCAAAGAAGTCCTATCTTTGGAAGAAAAATATTGAGAGGACAAGATTCAATTACCTGTAGTTTTAAATAAAGTTTCATGTCACCCCAATGTGGATTATGAGGATTTTTCTTCAGAATGAATCTAAGCACTGGCTCTCTCTTGTCTAAATCACAGTCTTTGAGAAGATACTCTTGCTTTGCTTCAGTCCTTGTTAAGAGTTTATGTTTGTTTTCAACATCTCTGAAATGAGATCCCAATTCAACCTGAAAATACATTCTATGTACTTGCATATAACAAATAATATACATATTGCACCACTAACTTAGCTAATTCTTAACTTTGCATTTTTATATTCAGTGGTACATATTATAAGATAAGCACACCGAATATCAAGTTGGTCTATGCAAAAAAAAAAAAAAGCCTTGAAAATGATTTGGAAAAAGAGCTTCAAACTTTATAAAAACACAATCCCCCCCCCCCACTTCCACATGAACCTGAAGAAAAAAAGAACTTTAATGAATAGAATATTTAAATCAACTCTTAAATCACATCTTTTTTCAAGCTGGTGTGGAAGCCTGTAAAAAGGGGTGCATTAAAAGAACATTAAAAAGTATGCTCGGGTGAGGTCAAACACTTTTTCCAAATCATTTTTTAAGCATGCACAGTATTAATACTAATATTAATATTTCAATGCAACCATAATGGAATATTTTGAAATATTTTTTTTATGCTGAGCTAGAAATGTTTGCAATACAAACAAAACGCTAAATCCACTTATTTAGTCATTCTTAATCCACAGTTGCAGGAGTCAGAACTGATTTGAAAGTACAAAAATAAAATTGCTGTACCTGCAATTATCACATGTTGCCAGGTCAAAATGGTTCATGAGATAAGAGTCCATGAATTCCTTTCCACATTCTTCACAGATCAGATAATCAAATTCTAATACTGGACCTATTAAAATAAGAACAGAAGTACAATAATAACAATTCAGGCTCTTAAATTTATCCAAAATAGTAAAGTGACAATAACAAGAAATATGCACACAAGAAAAAATTAAGCTTTGGAATCTTGGAAATGACATTTCATTGTGTTTTATTGTCTGTAAACCTTGAGAAAAATAAGCACTCCTTATTAGAACTAATAACTAACTTGCTTTTCCAGGTTAGGCAAGCTGGGTTGTTGATGTTGGTTTTATGATATCCTTTACCTTGGATAACATGGGTTATTGTTCTTTAACTTTGATTTCAATCTTTGTATGCTGCCCAGAATCATTTGAAGCAAATTATTGACTCAGTGCAATTTTTTTCCAATCTGGTGATTTCTAGATGTGTTGTCTCCATCCGCACTCACTTTAATTCTCAGTCAATTTTGGATTAAATTAGCAAATTTATATTCTTATTTAACCAATGTTGAACCTAGAATACTGCCTACATCAGTATGGACACACAGCTATTCAGCAAGAACATATGGCTCTTTTCAACCAAAATTTCCTATATCTTGCTTATTCAGGCACTTATCAAAATAAACCACAAATTACCAGGAGGATGCACAATTTTCTCAGTTTGGTGTCGTTTTGTCTCTTCTTCCTCTTCCTCCTCCAGAAAAAAACCCCCTCCTGTATCTATTGTCTTTGAAGGTACTTTAACTTTTGAGCTGCCTGGAAAGATAAAGTAACAATTTAATTGTGCACCTGTACAAATAAAATAACTTTGTTTTGAAAAGACTCCATAACATTCATTATATAAACTACTTTCAGTCACTGAAGAGACTTCAACAACACTTTTAGACTTCAACTGCTTCAACACTTTTAGACCACAGTCTAAAAATATATACACCTCAAACTGTGATGCAACAGATCTAATTTATAAAACAAACTGGGAAGATATGAGTGAGTCCATATATTTACTAAGCCACTGTTTATGTAATTACACCACTGAATGAAGCACAGTTGGCTGGGTTGGCCCATCCTGCTAATAATGTAATACAGAATGACACTGGCTTGGTATTACCTAGCATTAAGCCAATAATGCCAATGCACATTTTATCTTCAGATTTGAATAGAGTATCCTTTACCATAGTTTGTTCCACAAACATTCTTCCTTATTATTATGCATGAATGCAGGCAGTGAATGTAAGTCCAATGAAAGACCTAGTAAGGCAGAGAATATTATGGAAACCCGTCTTAGCTTCTCTGCACACTCACCGCAAAAGGTGGTGGTGACCCTTTTTACAATACACTTGTTTAATTTCCCAGAACGTACAACTTATTAGGGAAAGTCTTAAGAACTTCCCTACATTATCTTTTTCATCTGACTTCCTTATAAAGTACACTAACAGAAGCTCTGTGTGTTGCCCCATATATGACACAATAAGAGGATACGGCAAACCTTCGCCAGGAGAAGGGTAGGGCCAGTTCGCCAGTCTAGCTTGCCTGAGCATCAAAGCCCGCTGACGGTTCCTCTCAATCTTTGCCTTCATGGTCTCGGAGAGTGTGTTCTTTTCTCCTTGGGCAGCACTTGGATCCATGGCCAAATACAGAATCAGAATCACTCATCTAAAAAAGGGAAGAGGACAGACAGAGGTAATTGAATTTTTTTTAAAAAAATAGCCAAAGGACTACTAAATACCAATTTGAGCATATTTAATGAAACATGGAGTGAGGTGCAATAGCATTAAGAGAAAAAGTGGAGAGAAGAGCAACAAAGATGATTAGGGGACTGGAGACTAAAACATATAAAGAACGGTTGCTGGAACTGGGTATGTCTAGTCTGATGAAAAGGACTAAGGGAGACATGATAGACAGTGTTCCAATATCTCAGGGATTGCTACAAAGAAGAGGGAGTCAAGCTATTCTCCAAAGCACTTGAAGGCAGGACAAGAAGCAATGGATGGAAACTAATCAAGGAGAGAAACAACAAGGAGACATTTTCTGAGACTTACAACAATTAATCCATAGAACAACTTGCCTCCAGAAATTGTGAATGCTCCAACACTGGAAGTTTTTAAGAAGATGTTGGATAACCATTTGTCTGAAGTAGTATAGGGTTTCCTGTCTAAGCAGAGGGTTGGATTTGAAGAACTCGGAGGTCCCTTCCAACTCTCCTGTTTTGTTTTGTTCTGTTCTGTTTTGTTCTGTTCTTTCTTGGATGGGTGATTCTTGGGCTTTTTTATTGGAAGTCGACCCCCTCCCCCATCAATTTTGCAACACTGCCCCAAAAAATTGCAGAGTTGCTTCCCCTCTAGGAGGCGACATGACTGATAAAGTGGGCTTCAGTGCACAAAGGTTTGTGCCCAATCAATCCCCCGAGATTTGGAAATGTCACAACTCTTTGTTGTTTTTCCTCGCTGGCATCAGAAAGGGAGATTTTAGCAACTCGCTCCCCGCAAAGGTTAATCCGTGCCGCCTGTCAAACAGGGTGACAGATCCAAGCAGGGACAGAAATCGGCTCCCATTCGGCACAACCCTCCTCTCTGACCACCATCCGCCAGTTATACACGCCACGGGGCTCCCTGCCCCGCGTAAGTTTGGTCTTCACTTCCCGGTCCCGCCTTGGAAAAGCAGGAAAATCCGAGAAGACGCTCCAACGCTCCGACCACCGGCTACAGTACTCACCAGCAGCACAGATAGGGCTTCTTGGACAGAGTGCGCATGCGCTGGTAAAGGCTCACTCTCACCCACCCACCGACCGAAGTGTAATGGGGAGCTTTTGACCATAGACTTAAAATGAAGAAAAGACAATCCTTCCGTAGATAGCGAGATTTAAAATAGCTTTTCAAGGCGACAGGAATTTTTTTTTAAATTATTCTCATTTTTTTAAAAAAAATAGTCCTGTACAATTATCTTTATAGTGTGAAATATGAAGTTGGGATGAGAAAGATAAGTTTGGTGTTGTATGTGCAAACTGTAGCTGCGCTAAGAGAGTAGCTTGATACAATTGATTCAGGTTGTAACCGAGATCAAAGCCAATCTCTTAGGTCTCAGTAGAAGACACTTTCTCCGCGAACGCATATGCATGTCTTCAAAAATTGAGGCAATTTCAAATGTGCAAAAAACGAAGGACGATTTCGAAAGAGCAAGCGCTCCAAATGTTCTGCTATACAATATGTGTTTGGCGGCGAGCCGCCTTGGCTGCTGGGAGTTGTAGTTCGGCCACATCAGGTGTATAAATTGCCCTACCCAGAAAGTAAAGTAAGCACGTGGGGTTTTGACAACCGACAGCAGAGTGCGCTGAAACCTTTGCAAATTAATACCTTCTACTTTTATACGAATTGCTTAGTTGGCATAAACATACAGGCTTCTGGTGGTATAAGCATTACAGAAATATAACCTTCAATCTTTTGATTTTATTTTAAAATTGAAATAATTAATTACATGCCATCAAAGCCAATAGATTCCCCCCCCCATTAATTTAGCCTTTCAGATCTTCCAATAGGGCACACATTTAGAGGTGTTATTCAGCAGGTTCTAACCAGTTCTGGAGAACTGGTAGCGGAAATTCTGAGTAGTTCGGGGAACCGGTAAATACCACCCCTGATCGACGCAGTTCTGGCGTAGCCTCTGGCGCGGATGGACAGGCCTCTGAGGACTCTGCGTCGCAGGACACCGATGGCGGATCAGGACGAAGACGGAGTTGGCCCGGTCCCCAAGAAGGTTGTCATTGTTTCCCTCAGGGTGGACCTCGGAATCTGCTGCTGGTGCATTGGCCAAACCCATGTCTCTGTCTTTGACATCTGGCTGAATCTGCTCTGGTGTATTTGTTAACTGCTGCCCCCACCTTGCGTGAAACTGGTCGCAATGGCGTCACCACATTCAGCCATCGTCCAGCTTCACCCTGTAAGAACAGGGCCCGGTCTCGTCAGTGATAGTTCCCGGCAACCACAACGGATGGCCTACATAATTTCTTGTGTAGATTGCCTCGCCTGGGCTGAACCCCCCCCTCATCCCCCCCATTGAATCTAAGAGCTTGTTTGATGAGTAGCATGGGTGCAATCTGTCAAAGCACATTCTGAGCCACCTGCCCATGAGTAATTCTGCAGGGGTCCTATTTGTTTGGGGACATGGCGTTGAATGGTGTGCTAGCAGGAAGGCGTTAATCCGCTCCTGCAAGTCAGCCGGACCCATCTTAACCAGTGCCTCTTTGGCAGAGTGCACCATCCACTCAGCCAGGCCATTACTGGCTGGGTGAAAGGGGGAGATGAGCGTGTGCCAAATTCCCATAGTTGCCAGGAACCCCTTGAAAGTGGCTGAAGTCAGCTGGGGCCCATTATTGGACACCAGCAAATCAGGTAGGCCATGTGGCAAACAGTCGCCTGAGGGCCCCAATAACTGCCCCAGAGGTGGTGGATGCCATTCTTACTAGCTCCAGCCACTTTGAGAACGCATCCACCACCACTAGGAAAACCTGCCCATGGAATGGTCTGGCAAAATCTATGTGTATTCGAACCCATGGGGCGCTGGGGCATTCCCACTCCCTAGGTGGCGCTTTTAAAGGCATTGGGCATGGTTCCTGACATTGGGGGCAGGTAGAGACCCAAGCAGCTATGTTCTGGTCCAGTTTAGGCCACCAAGGGTAGCTTTTCCCTAATGTTTTCATACGGGCAATGCCTGGATGGCCACAATGGAGTTTCTTCAATACTGCCGTTCGGAGTGGGGGTGGAACTATTACCCTGTGTTCCCACAAAAGGCAGCCGCTCTGAGCGGACAGCTCCAATTGGCGATTTTTAAAAGGCTGAAACTCCGCAGCTAAGAAACCCTGTGGCCAACCTTGCTGAACCCAATCTAGCACCTGGGAAATTACCTTGTCCTTAGCTGATTGCTGGGCAATGTCCACAGAGGTGATCGGAAAATGGCTGTCGCCAATCAGGAGCACTGCTGACGCTTGGGCAGGGTCTTTGAGCACCTCAGGAAGAGGGCAACGACTTAACGCATATTGGCATGAGCGATTTGCTTCCTGAGCAGTGCAGCAAGATGTAATTGTAGGCCGCCAAGAAGACCGTCCAGTGGGTCATTTGTGGGGACATCACTTGCGGTGTTTATTTGTCCCTGGCCAACAGGCCCAGCAACGGCTTGTGGTCAGTGACGATCTGGAACTGGTGGCCGTAGAGGTAGTAGGTAAAACATTTCACCCCGGTGACAATTGCCAACGCCTCCTTGTCTAATTGTCCATAGTTTCTTTCAGCGCCCAACAGAGTTCTGGAGAAGAAGGCCACTGGCACTTTGGTGCCATTAGGTAGTTGGTGACACAGCACAGCACCCATCCCATAGGGAGAGGCATCGCAGGCGAGTAACACAGGCAACTGTTCGTTGTATTGCAAGAGGACTGCGTTGGCAGCTAGCAGTTGTTTAACAGCTTAGAAAGCCACAGCCTCCCGTTTGCCCCAATTCCAGGTGGCTGAATTCTCAAGGAGGTGATGTAGTGGCTCAGTCACAGAAGCCTTGTGCGGCAGGAATAGTGCGTAAAAATTAAGAAGTCCAAGGAAGGCTTGAAGTTCAGCTTTGGTAGAAGGAACAGGAGCCTCCAAAATCACTTTGGTCTTTGCAGTCGTGGGGTGCAGACCTGCCGCGTCAACGAGGTACCCCAGGAACTCGACCTGGGGTATGGCAATCTGGCACTTTTTGCATTTCACCTTTAGACCGGCCTGATTGAAATGTTGGAGCACTGCACGCAGTCTGGCCATAAGTTCGGGATGGCTGGTTGCAGAAATGAGGACATCATCCAAATAAGGGATGACGCCCTTGAGTCAATGGAGCAGCCACTCCATTAAACTTTGAAATAAGCCTGGGGCAATACTAACCCCAAACTGCAGCCACCGACATTTGAAAGCCCTGCGGTGCGTGATGATGGTCTGGGCTTCCGCTGCGTCGTCTACCAGCAGTTGTTGGTAGGCCTGGGCCAACTCCAATTTTGTGAAGATGGTGCCTTCCCCTAAAGTGTGCAGCAGGTGGTGAACTACTGGCACTGGGTAGGCATTGGATGATAAGGCACGGTTCAAAGAGCATTTATAGTCAGCGCAGATTCTTACACTGCAATCTGGCTTAACTGGTACCACAATAGGGGTCTCCCACCTCACGCGGTCCACTGGCTCAAGGACCCCTTGGGCGATGAGTCTATCTAGTTCAGCGTCGACTTTTAGCTTGAGTGCGAAGGGCAGTCTGCGCGGCTTCAGGCGGACCGGTAGGACCTTCGGATCATTATTGAAAGAGACTGAAGTGCCTTTGTAGGTACCCAGCTGGCCGTCAGAAATGGTGGGAAATTCTTTAACTAAAATGTACAGTTCAGCTGGCTGCACACAATTGATACCATTGATCTGGAGGCCCAGGGCATCGAACAATCAAGTCCAAGGAGACTGGGCAAGGTTCCTTCAACCACTATCAAAGGCAATCGCCCCTTGAAATTCTTGAACTGTACTTGTATGGTTCTGGCGCCTATTATGGGAATAATATTCCCTTAATAGTCCCATAAACTTATGTGGCAACATTGCAACCAATGCTTGGACAGCTTTGGCAGCAGGCACTTAATGGTGCTCCAGGACACAATAGAAGTTGCTGAGCCTGTGTCCATTTCCATCACGCAGGGCACACCCTTGACTTGGACCGTTAGGTTGATTTTCTTCGTCATACAATTGCAGGTCTGGAACGCTCACACTTCTGACTGTGAGGGGTTGCGAAAAATGGCATGACAGTCATTGTCTACCTTGGAGTCTTTTGCTGAGGTTCTTTTGCAGCTGGGCAGCTTGATGGGTGGAGCGGAAACATTACGGTAGCCATTCCTGTCACCCGCGGTCACAACATCTCGTTGTGCGTTACTTAGCTCAGTAGTGAATTTCAGCAGTAGATAGTGACCAGCAACCTGGCCTCAGATCGACAATCCCACCTTCGTCGCCAGTGTTCAATACTCTGAACTTAGTGTGGGTGCCAGAATGACTGAGGTTCAGGTGGAATAAAGGCTAACAAATTGCTCAGAACACAACACTTTTCTCTTTCCTTCTACCTTTCCCAGCATTACAGTCTTTCTCAGAAAGTTAAATCTTGCCATTATGTGTTCAAACTAGGATTATTTGAGAGTGGTCATTTGTGTCTGGAATGAGAACTCTGGATTGATTTGTTTGATGATCCATTTCTTGGTTTTCTTGGCCATCCATAAAATTCTCTTCTCCCTTACCAAAGTTCAAATGCATCAATATTCTTCCTGTTTCTTCAAAGTCCAAGTTTCACTTCAATAGAGTGTCACTGGGAAGACCATGTCTTATGTAATTCTGATCTTTGTAGGTGTAATCACCTCATGACATCTGGGTATCTTTCTAAGGCCTTCATGGCTGCCCTGTTGAGGTCTAGTCTGTAAGGTTATATTTATTGATTGCAGTGGTGGCCTATCCCAAAAGGTGGAAGCTGATTGCCATTTCCGCATACTCCATGTCAGTTCTAAGGTTGGTAGTACTTCTTTTCATAAATTGGGTCTTGGAGAGACATTTGAGTGGCTCTGTCCACCCAACTCTCAATAGTCCAGTGTGCTAGCAGCTGAATATCACGGAGGGGTAAAGAGGTGTATATGGAAGGGAGGACTTCTCACAATGACAAACACTAAAATGCCAGGGATTTGTGCTTTGGCAAGAGTAATAACCTATTCCTAACCAGAACTACTTCATTGAAAGTTCTCTGCACTCAACT